TGTAGTAAATAAAAAAAAACCGTGTAGTTTTATTTAATTCGAAAGTACCTATTTCAAAATTAAAGTTAATGCATATACATATTATAAAGAACTAGCATTGCCCGCGGCTCCGCCCGCGTTCAGATGACCAAAAACCAAATTCTTAGGTTTTACATATTATTAAGTAGTAAGTTTTACAATTCAGTTTTTGTATTTTTCTCAAAAATGAGATATTTTCCCGCGGTACAAAGTATTCTATATGTTGACTCGGATATCCAGCTATCATCATACCAAATTTCATCAAAATCTGTCCAGTGGTTTTCTCGTGATCCGGTAACACAGACGAAAAATTTTAAAACTATCGATTTGTAACTCTATATTGATAATAATGTCTATTTCAATAAGATTTTTCAAAAAATATTTAATGTACAGATTCGGCTTAGTTACAATTTTATTATATGTATAGAAGAATCACAATAGATATAACTTTATTTCAAAACAATAAAGAAAACAAATATATAACGCAGACTACAGACGAGAGGATCACCTCATTATAGTCTGTTCTCACGCGAAACGAGATCGCCTGTAATAACTCTATCATCCATAGCATATGAATCAGGCCCCGGGCGCCGCAGTACAGTCGACGATAGAACTTAAAAAAAGGTTTATATTTTAATATTATACTTTTATTATAATTAATTTATTCACATAATATGTAATAACAAATCTTTACGACTGTACTAAACATTTTCCGCCTATAAAATTAATGAAACAAATTCACTTTTCAATTTACCCCTTTTATCACCTCATTAACACTACCATAACATGGTCATTAAACTTGTCCAAGTAAAAATGAGGTTAACAATTTTGTAGACGATGTTACATTGTAAAACCTTCGCCGGCGCAAACTCGCCCGGTGAAACAAACCAACAAAGCGTTGATTTGATCTGAGCGGCCGCGAATAATACGACTCTTGTGTTCCGCACGTATCATGTGTTTCCATTTAACTACGTACTAATCTATGATATTTAAAAGCGAACTTCTTGGGTAATGTACATAGTATTTATAATCTATACATATAATAAAATTGTAACTAAGCTGAATCTGTACATTAGATACTTTTATGAAAATCTTATTGAAATAAACATTATTATCGATACAGAGGCCGAATCTAGTTTTTAGAATTTTTGTCTGTCTGTCTGTTACCGCATCACAAAAAAACCACTGGAGGGATTTTCATGAAATTTGGTATGATGATAGCTGGTTATCCGGGTCAACATATAGGATACTTTTTACCGCGAGAAAATATCTCGTTTTTGAGAAAATATACAAAAACTGCAATGTATACTTGTATGTAAAACCTAAGAATTTGGTTTTTGGTCATCTGAACGCGGGCGGAGCCGCGAGCAATGCAAATCTATATAATAATCACACATTATAATACAAAATTGTGTAAGTGTGTTTGTTACTTTTTTAAGCTATAACGACTCAATGGATTTGGGTGAAAGTAAATGGTATATTATCGACGCACCTACCATGCAAGTGGACTCGCGGATAAAACCTAGTTTTTCCATATGACCCGTTACGTAACTGTAGACGCCTTATCACTGAATCACCTAAAAATGCAAATATATTCTATATTTAAGCTCAAAATCAGAAATAACTAGAGTAAAACTTACCAAAAAAAGTATCCAAATCGTTTCAAAATACTCTACACAGAACACTAAAAAACAGGTTTAAAAATCAGGAAATCTTCCCACACACGTCGACGATTATTCGCATTGTTTATTGCGAATAGGTGAAACGGTTACAGCGGTTAGCCTAACGAGATTATTTTAATACAGCCTCCACAGCCAGGTGGTCTCGGTAATCAGCCCACTGGATTTACACTTTATATCTGTCCACTTTACTTAATCGTTATTATAGGGTAGTGGTTTTACTTCAAGTATTATTTGGGTCCGGTTTTATATTAATAGATCATACTGGGCTTTAGATAAAATGGTCGTTTTGTATATTAAAAAATATATATTTAATTATATTATATAAATAATTACGTTGAATTTTCTTTAAGTTTTATCTTTACATTATTATCTTTATATACATATGATTTATATGTATTTATTGATTATAATTAACTTTTAAAAATGCTATGTATGTAAAAGCTATAATTAAACAAATAAAATAGTAATAAGTAATTATTTTTATAATGTATTTAATTTTCCTTAGTTTCTATCACAGGTTAGTCTATACACAAGTCGGCTTTATGGGTGTTCCGATCCGGTCCTGAGACTCAGTCCAATCGCTCGAACATTGATATAGTAATAGATGCTAATTTAACTACGCCTGCAGCCTGGCGCTATCCCCCATTATAAAATACTTCGTAATAGTCGTAAAATAAACAGCAAATAACTTGTTACATATTTTAATTATATTAACTGATTATGACATGTTATAAGTGGTTGGCAAAACTACTTTTCCCACGGGAAATAATTGGTGTATCGGGATGCTAAGTAGCCTATATCATATATAATATAAAAAATCGAAAGGAAACCTTGCTCCATGAAAAACAAATCAATAAACAAACATAATTTCACATTTATAATAAAAATAAATAAAAGCGAGTGCAAAACATCATTTTTATATATATCTATCCATCATACATGATTCGTAAATATTTAAGTTCTTAAAAAAACATTTTTTGATCGACGTGTAGATAACACTATATTAGCAGTATAAAGTATTAAATTTTATATACCTACCGTCAGAAGTCAATCAGTCGTTTAGAACGATGTAAATCTAAAACCGATTTGCTTTCTGATTATGATAAAGCGATATTGTCTTGTACCTAACATTTAATGGGCGATTGGAGTTTGTAATAGCAGCAAGTCCATTTCATACATTTCCTAACACCAATAACTTGAGCTTAGGTAATTTTAAATAAACTTAGTATATTATAAATATTTTATATATTGCACAATTTCCTTATCCGACTTTTTACGTAATCTTATATGTAATAACATTTTAGCTTAGAATTTTTTCACTTTTGTCGGTTTGTCACTGACTAAGAACAACTCTACATAAGTAATATACACTCTATAGTAGTCGATTCCTCAATCTCGTGCAAATTATTTCTAGCTCGATATAATTCCACTGTGTAAAAATAATCTCTCATAAATATACGCATATCAGTTAAAATCCATGAAAATTGCACTATCCTTATACACTATCCCTGCTGTAATTTTCTAATAAATAATAAAAGAAATTGTATAATCTGTTCAATAATTATATTAAAAAAACATTTAAAGATTATTTGTCATAAAATGTACATAACATGCCATTACAACGTGATTGTGGCTTTATACGTGGTTATAATACATTCTTATAACGTACTGTTTGTATGGCAGACATTTTCCTCAGGAAGACCAGGTGATGGCTACTTATCTAGTCTAGGTTAGTCGGCCTAACATATTTCCCTCTTAGAGGTTAGACCTAGAGCCTTAATTGACGATCGCATTTATTAATATTTGTAACATATAAAACGAACTACAAATTTGTGTACTAATAGATATTAAAATCAACAATCCGCAATGAAAAATCCTGGCTTAGTAATATATACGTTAATTTTTATCGACCTACCTACACATGAAAGCGGAGTCACAGGAAACGCTACCTTTTCACTTTAAAATGAATAATAATATTAAAAAATAATTTGTGCGAATTTTCAACAAGAATTAACAGCGTTTAGGATTTCGAAACGAATGATCCACTTTAAACAAAATACACGGATAATTTTAATTTATCATCAATGCTCTACATTTCGGATGTAAAGTTGCATATTTTTATTTGTGCAGCTTTCACAAAAATTTACAGCCAAATTAATTTTTATCGACCATAATAAAAAAACAACTCAGGGTTTTGGATTATAAAAATCGATTAAGATTTATAATTATACCGCAATATTCGGATAAATTACTAGCTGTAATTGTAAAGTAATTAATATGAAAGTATTGGGTTTTATTTATGCCTACTAGTGAAATTGCTTTCCTACTAAATCTATACATATAATAAAATTATACGGAGGCCAAATCTAGTTTTTAGAATTTTTGTCTGTCTGTCTGTCTGTTTCCGCGTCACAGAAAAACTACTGGAGGGATTTTGATGTTTGGTATGGTGATAACTGGTTATCCGGGTCAACATATAGGATACTTTTTATCCTGGGAAAAATATCTCATTTCTGAGAAAAATACAAAAACTGCAATGTAAGAGTAGGTACTCTTAGTTTACTTACATATTAGTATAGGTATACTAATATGTAAGTAAAACCTAAGAATTTGGTTTTTGGTCATCTGATCGCGGGCGTAGCCGCGGGCATTGCTAGTATTTCAATATGATACTGTTTCCTATCTAAGTAGTTTTCAGTATAAAACAAAGAAATTTGTAGTGGCTATACACGGTTATATGCTGAAAAATTTGTGGTCATTTACATTTTTTTTATTTTTTATTGCACTTTAAAATACAGAGAAAAAAACAATAAACACAGTTAACAAAAGTGGACTGGACCTGTCTCGCACTTTTTGCAGTATGAAGAACGGTACGATCTAAAATATTAAGATTTCGTTTAAACCTACGTCTAAATCAATATTCACAAAAATGACATTCATTGAAATGTACCTCGTGGAAATTCTTACTGTTATCCTTAGATATGAATTAATTTTAAAGTAGAGAATTTAGGCAGAGAAAACTTTACTTAGGATAATCAGATTTTGACCTAGATAGTTATATAGAATTTATGAACATTTAGCGAAAATAAGCTACCATTATGATGTTATTTATTATTAAGTCAGAACAAATCGTTCCTTCTGGGAGCTTTAGTACTATTATAATCAATCCGAAAAATTTCTGGAAACTTGTGCGAAGCTCACCCACTCTTAGTTTCCAGTTAATTAAACCACGTTAGTAGTTAAGTAACCAATTGGGTTACTTGTAATTATTATAATTAATATAGTAAATGCGTATTTCAGATGCATCTAAGCTCAGTGCAAGTGTGCGCGTTGTTGACGCTGGCGCTGGCGGCGGCCGCGCCTCCCCCCGCGCACCACGTCGCGCGCCGCTCCTTCTTCCACCTGCAGTGCAAGGGTGTGTACGACGCGGCCATATTTGCCCGTCTCGACCGCATCTGCGATGACTGCTTCAATCTGTTCAGGGAGCCCCAGCTGTATACTCTGTGCAGGTAAGACACAGATAATCTATATTTTGAGTTGTGCCATTTTTTTGTGTTGTGGCGTTTTTCAGCCAGATTTAAATATTATGGTTAAATGTATTTTTTTTGTTTCATCGTGGCGTTTTTCAGTCAGTTTAATGTTTTAACTAAACGTCATTTTTTTGTTTGTGGCGTTTTTCAGCCAGTATTTTTTTTTCAGTCAATGTAATTACTATAACATTATTAAATGTATAAATATAATATAATATTTATTCCTTGTGGCACAGGAAAGACTGTTTCACAACAGATTACTTCAAAGGCTGCGTGGAGGTACTACAAGAAACCGACCAACTCGAACTCTTCAAGAAGTATATAATACAATTACACGGGGCGGATCCAGGGATTAGGGATTAGGTATCCGATGAGTTTTTGTTTTGCCTTCCTCTTCCTCTATGGGACTAACTGCCTGCATGACACTTCAATAACCAGTCTTAACATCTTCTAAGCTCGGCTTCTACCAATTGCGGATTCCTAACAGCTATTTCTTACTTTTATAAATCCAATTTCGAAGGAAATTCGAATTGAAAGTTAAAGATAACGTGAAGCTATCAATTAGAAAGTATAAGCACGGCAAAGCATGATTCATAGAAACAACAGTTAATACATCATACGATATTTAAAAATTACATTCCTTCATATCCACATTCTTAAAATGTTTAACGCAACTTCTTGTTTTAATTTCTGCAATGGCGTAATTTCACTTTCATTAATAAACACTATTTTATTAGATAACATCCCAACAAGACTTGGCAGTTAGTTTTTTGCTTTTATTACATTTTCTGCTCGGGTGTTTCATACAACATTCGGATCTTAATGCGTTTCTACATTCCTTTAATATTATAGTTTAGGGCCTACTTTTTCAATTATTATCAAAGTTATTGAAAATTATTGAAAAAAAAACGAAATTTGAATAAATTTGAACTATTGTAATTTTTAATCTACAAATAACTTTTATTTGATGATAAATATATCAGCTCTTAAAATATAATCGAACAATTTAGTCGAATACAATTAAACTTGAAAGTGTGAACAACGCCTAATTTTTTGAAGTAGACACAAGCGTCGTCATTAACAGCATGCAATGCACTTCGCATTTTCTAGCACTTTACGTCTATCGAAATTACGTAAAAATTAAATAATATTTTTTATTTTAACCTGTAAGCTTTGTTAATTATCAATATTTCACAAAGTATGGTTAAAATATTTATTTATTTATATTTTAACTAATTATTTGATCATTTCTTTTTACAGTTAGAACAATAAATAAGATCTGTTATTTAAATTAATTTTATTTAATGTATTGTATATGTCTTATGGTAAAATAAATTATGTTTTATGAGTAATTAAGCGTTGTTTTAAAATCATATTACGTCCTTTTAACTTATAGAATTAGACTTAGATTATTTTATTTTGTAAAAAAGTATTTTGTCTAGCTTTTTTTGAAAGAATTTTAAAAGTCAATTTGCCAAATCATCAAAATAAGACTTCACTTTCTATCGCACCTTTAATATCTTTTCTTTATCTGTATCTCTCACTGAGCTTATCTGGAGTACACAAACAAAATTGCTTATTTATTTCATTATTAACAATTGTATTTTATCTTGCAGGTCAAAATGTTTCACTTCGCCCTACTTCAAGGGTTGTATGGAGTCTTTGTACCTCTACGACGAGGAGGAACAGTTAGATCAAATGATCGACTTCATCGGGAAACGCTAACAGCCAGTACATTTCGCGCCATTTCTTGACACATGACGCCATCTTGTTACGACTGATTCTTCAAATTTGGAATTTTAGCAACTATATACAAAAATAATCATTTATATATTAGCACAAATTTAAATTAATTATATTGGCGTATTTATTATTTATGAAACGAGAAAAATATGAAGAATCAGCCTAAACCCAACAGATAAAAAAACACAACGTACAAATCCGAACAATCGACAAGCAAGACTAATGTCAACTGTCAAGTTCCTCCAGATTGACGTCTGCTTTCTATCCTCAACGTATTCTAGTCTTTATCGCGACATAAAATTATTTATGTTTGCAACTAATTGTAATGTAATATTATCGTAATTTGTATAAGTGTATACAGTTAAGGACATTTATTTAAGCTAAGGCCGGCTGGGAGGGTAAGGATTAGGTTTGTTTCACCTCCTAGTTTATAATACGTATGAAATTATAGGTATATCGTGGCAAATGTCCCGATGCTGGTCATCAAACAACAATATCTAATTTGTCAAATTCCCGACTGATATTGCCTATTTATAAAATTATGACGCATTCCAAACAGTATTTAGTTTACTTACGCTTTCTATCTAAATTCTAACGCGAGTTCAGTTCGTATTAACAAAGGTATTATGTATAGCCTTGTAATATATAGTTGTACCATTATGTAAATCACAAACGTGGCTTCTAATGTATGTATTCGGTTTTCCGTAGATTTAATTTGGTCGCAATGTATTTAATTCATATTATTTATATTCTTGACCTAATTTAACCGGACGGTGAGGCGATGGATTTACCATTTTATTTAAAACATCAATTTAAAAAAATATTGCTACATTTCCTATTAAAGTAATACAAACATAGTGCCATTACAGTAATTTTAATGTACAAGCTGTCTCCATCTTTGCCACCAACAGGTCGCTTCGCCGTCACAAACAGACAAGGTTGAGTTGTAAGCGATTTAATTAGTTCATAAGTATTTATAAAGAATTATTTTTTATATACTTCCGACCTATTTATTTGTTATTATTATTTATTGACGGTCTCCTGCAACCGTAGAGATTACCAGTGATGGAAATTACACTCACTAACATTTCTGAATTATCCTTAAGTTGCGGTTTTTACTTATCAACTGTTGTTAGTTCCACAAACCCTTCTCTGTGTTCGAATCTCAATTTTTATTTAGTTTCTTTTAGCGTTTCTTACCTCTAGTTACTTCCATACATTGTTATATAATAAGAGTTTTACCTTTTCTGCCCTATAATATTTAGAGAAATGGTGCCAATTAATGTCCCAAGAAAACATAGGTTATAACGAATTTAGCTAATGATTAACGAGATGTAACGATTTATAGGACCTGTGAAATTATTGTAAAAATGTATTCGAATTATTAGTAAAAAAATATTTATCTATTTGTATAAATTTTATATAAAACAGCTAAGAAACGCTACGGGTTCCAAATATATTTCAGTTTGAAAATCTTTATGTATTTTATTTAAAACTCCATTTTATCCTTACACATACTAATCTAATACCACCGATCACATAATACTATAATAGTACAGGTGCCTCATCCCATACAACGAAATTGCACAGCGCTAATTCGGGCTAAATTTTTTTGCTTGAATTGATAATAGGTGTCGTTGATTCGCAAATAGTTAAACCGTTTTATTTTATAAATAGGTGCAAACTAACATAACATAGTAAATGTTGCAAAATTCATTTTGCTTTTGAATTAAAAAATACATATTAGATATAAAAATGTTCAACCGTGAAAAACAATTCATAAAAAGTAAAAGCGCCATCTGTGAATATACACTACAAACAGTACTAACCCATCATCTGATGGCTGATATTTCAATAATCAGTCAAATTACGCCAAATTTGATTTACGAGCGCATTATTTCGTTTTCCTTAACTTAGAATATTTTTTGAAATATAAAATTACCTTTTTGGGATCTATTTTTTTATCTTTTGTTAATTTAACACAACTTTAATAACAAAGCGATACATGTAACGTCATCTATTGACATTTATTTGAACTAATTCTTCTTTGCTTGTGATGAGACCCCGTGCTAATAGTATATCGTGCATGGCATATATTTACGAGATCATATAAATGTGTGTCTCTTTTATGGCTGGATGAGAACAATGATTTACATGACATTGTATCAGTTGCACATTACCATACAGGTGCCAATGGGTTATTTCGTTTAACCACCATAAAATTCCCACCCTAGAATATCTACTCGGAAACACGTGTGTGTTTATCCTGGACGGAGTGGATAAAAGGATTTAATTATCATTGACTATCCTTAAGTAGGTACAGTCAGACAGAAATGAAGTTTATAATAATGTAAAATATAGCAAAATGCATTGTGCCATTAATCATCATTTTATATCGTCATATTGCCTGATATTTTTGCCGCGCCTGCCTAGGTTTTTGAGAAAATTATAAATAAAATAACCCGCGCCAATTTATCTATAAGAATTGCACCTCATACAATATATTTAACGGTAAGGAAAGAAATAAGAAATAATTGCTTGTTTTGTTAACTGTATCACTTACTCCGTGACAGTGAAAGTGTCGGACGTTAGCTGTATAGAAATACTCTGTAACGATTTAAAACAATTTTATTTAATCTCTCTACTTACGTTTTAACGTTTAGTATAGATTTCTCAGAGATGCGATATTTTTATAAAAAATATTCTATATGTCGACCCGGATAACCAGCTATCGTCGTACGTATCAAAATCGCTCCAGTGGTTTTTCTGTGATGCGGTAACAGACAGACAGACAGACAGACAAAAATTCTAAGAACTATAGATTCGGCCTATGTATCTATAATAATACTCACTCGTACGAAGATATATAACGAATCCCAAAATAAATATTAATTTGTTTTTTATAAAGTTGATACTGTATTTAAGAAGTTTAATACTTATATATCTACTCGTAATAAACGGCCATGTTGTAAATACGGAAAACTGTAAAATTAAATAAAAACTTTTTAATTAAAAATAAAAACCGACTTCCAGGCACTAAAATATAAAAAATAACTAAACGGAGGTTTTCATATATATATACATATCTTAAAATATTGTGGGCTCTAAATATTCATATCTTAAAATAACATATTCGATTAAACAATTTATTTAAAAAAATATTTATTGTTGATTTTTTTAAAAACCGCTCGACCGATTTCGATAAAATTTATATGGGACCACCTGGAAAGTATACTCTTTGAAACAAAAAAAAATTCCAAATCGTTTCAGGCGTCTTCGAGTAATCGGTGAACATACATAAAAAAAAGATTCCGACGAATTGAGAACCTCCTCCTTTTTGGAATTGGAAGTCGGTTAAAAATATAAAAAGCATGTCTAAAAATGGTGATTATTCTTAAAATAAACGCTTCTTGGTATAAGAATAACTTTATTTACGATACAATAAAAATAGGTAGTCATATCTATACCGGGTGGATAGTTTACGACGGAATAATTACATATACAGCAATCGACTTTGGGTTAATATTTTTAACCCAAAGTTAATAAACAATTTTAACGAAAAACTATCGATAAAATATCACATTGTGCGTACAAATGTATGTATTAATGAATTATTAATGACGAAAACGCGTGACGATCCACTGATGAGTGAGAAAATGTTATTTTTACTAGTTTCAGTTTCCTTTACATTTGAATAGCAAAGCATTTTACGAATAAAACAATATTTTACTCCATTGGTAAGTTCTCTTCCAAACAATAACATTTACTCAATGGACCAAAACGAAATTTAACATTACTTTTTATTACGTTACATATATTTGACCAACTTCATATTATGACATCAAACCCTATAGACCTAACAGTCCCCGCACACTGTAGACATTCTATCCGTCGATAGTTTGGTTAGGCTTATAATTAGCATAAAATTTTATATTGATCAATAATAATTTATCGTCATAATGGTTTAATAGAAAAAGAAAGTCTGTGGGGGCTTTATTAGAGATGGTATGAATATTTAACAAAGCGATATTACATCGAATGATATGAATCGCATATGAAACGTTACTTTTAACGTGAATAATTTTTCTTTATTATATTATAGATAATGTATACTTAGATAACTTAAATTTAACTACACTAAAGCTAGGAACAGACAGTCTTTTCAATCACTCTAGTCACCAGGGCTCGGAACCGGTTAAAAAAAAACGGTTTGTTTAGGAAATATAATGGTTAATTTCTCGATCGTTCTTTTAACAGGTTAATAAAAACGACGGTTTAGTAAACAGAAATAATAAAGGTTAAAGGTTATTCTTAGAGAAAGGTTAGATTAAGGTTTTGATACCGAAATAAACCGGTTAATTCTCTCATAAATAAGAAACGTACATGTATCCTTCTACTGCACAATACATCATTAGCAAAGATACGCTAAATGTAAGCGCATTAACACAAAATTAAATTAACACTCATTTTAACCGGTAAATTTCGACCATCGAACCTAAATTTGTCAATAACCGTTCTCCGGGTTTTAACCGGTTAAAGAACGTAACCGAAACCTTAAACCGAAAAGCCTTTCGGTTTGGGGTTTATGAGCAAAACCGGTTTAAAAATTGAATGGGTTTCCGAGCCCTGCTAGCCACATACAACATACCATTAAACATATTATAAATGGTTGTATGTAAAAACTAATTCTTTGATAAATAATAGTAATAAAGTATGGAATATAATTATTAATCAAAAGCGTAACTTAAATGTTTAAATTGTTAAATATATTAATTTAACTAAAAGAAAACAGTGACGAATACAAAATAAGAACTAAGTAAATGTCAAATATTACGAAATGAAACTAAAACCTAACATTAACATTTTTTATATTTCATGTATCAATAACAATGTTAAAATATAACGTTTTTTGTCCTAACTCAGACTAAAGAATTATATAAACGGAGTCCGCCAAAAAAATGTCAAAGTCAAATATACTT